AAAAAAAAAAAAAAAAAAAAAAAAAAAAAAAAAAAAAAAAAAACCATAGTGAAGCCAACTGCAGGATGTTTGCTTTTAATTATCACCATCTGTCAGAAAATTCTAAACAATGTTAATGATAAAGTACTCCTTTCCAAACAAAAGCTTTGTTTAGTTTTAGTTCTAAACAATTACTGCGATTACTGCTGATTTTTTTCTTTTTTTCCCCTGAGACAGGGTCTTGCTCTCTCACCAAGCTGGAGTGCAGTGGCACAATCTGGGCTCACTGTAACCTCTGCCTCCTGGGCTCAAGCAATCCTCCCACCTCAGACTCGAGTAGCTGGGACCACAGGCTCCTGCCATGTTGCTGGACTAATTTATTTTAACTTCTTATTATTATTATTTTTGTAGAGATGATGTCTCCCTTTGTTGCCCAGGCTGGTCTTGAATCCCTGGGCTCAAGCGATCCTCCCACCTGGGCCTCCCACAGTGCTGGAATTCACACCTGTAGGTGTGAACCACCACTCCTGGCCCTCTCACTTCTTTTTAAGAGTTTCTCTTTGTCAATGATTTTTAGCCGTTTATTTTATGCCCTATCTTGGTTTTCTTTGTATTTATCTGTCTTGGATGTCATTGAGCTTCTCTGATTTGTGGCTTGATGTCTTTCATCAGTTTTGGGAAATTCTCAATCATTATCTCTTCAGATAAGGCTATTGCTGTATTTTCTATGCCTGTTCTTCAAGACATCAATAACCATATGTAAGATGATGATGATGATGATGATGATGATTTGAGACAGACTTTGGTTCTTTTTGCTAAAGCTTGAACACAATGCTGCGATCTCACTTCACTGCAACCTCTGCCTCCTGGGTTCAGGCAATTCTCCTGCCTCAGCCTCCTGAGTAGCTGGGATTATAGGCACCCAACACCACGCCCAGCCAATTTTGTATTTTTAGTAGAGATGGGGTTTCACCATGTTGGGCAGGCTGGCCTCAAATTTCTGACTTCAGGTGATCCACCTGCCTGAACCTCCCAAAGTGCTGAGATTACAGGCACGAGCCACCACACCCAGCTCATATGTAAAAATATTTGACCTTGTTCACCATGTCTTTTACACTTTTACTGAGTCTATCTGCTATAATCTCCAACCTGCTGTTAAATCTATACATTGAGTTTTTATTTTAAATACTAGATTTTCAGTTTTTTTGTTTTGTTGTGTTGTGTTTTGTTTTGAGGCAGAGTTTTGCTCTTGTTGCCCAGACTGGAGTGCAGTGGCACAATCTCGGCTTGCTGCAACCTCTGTCTCCCAGGTTCAAGTGATTCTCCTGTGTCAGCCTCCCAAGTACCTGGAATTACAGGCACCCACCACCATGTTCAGCTAATTTTTTGTATTCTGAGTAGAGATGGGGTTTCGCCATATTGGCCAGGCTAGTCTCAAACTCCTGACCTCAGGCAATCCCCCCACCTCAGCCTCCCAAAGTGCTGGGATTTCAGGAGTAAGCCACCGTGCCCGGCCTAGATTTTCAGTTTTATAATTTGATTTGTAGCCAGGCACCGTGGCTCATGCCTATAATCAGTACTTTGGGAGGTCCAGGTGGGCAGATCGCTTGAGTCCAGAAGTTTGAGACCAGCCTGAGCAACATGGCAAAACCCTGTCTCTACTGAAAATACAAAA